GGTGCGCTCTGGATCGGTGACGTGTTACCCGTATCTATGCCGACGGCCACCGTCACGGCCGTAGGCATATATTTGACGTCGTTAGCCGGCCGTGATGACAGTTGTCAGCGGGCCCGCATCTATGCCGACGGCTTATATATGCCGACAGCAGCTGTAGGCGTAGTCTGGGATAAGCCAACGGCCTATATATGCCGACGGCTGCTGTCGGCGTAGACACGAATAGCCCGACCGCCGTTGTACGCCGACGGCCAGGAGCTAGCTGTCGGCATAGCTCGGACTAGGCCGATGGTAGCCGTCGGCATATATTTGCCTGTCGGCGTAGAGCCTTGTTCCGGTAGTGAGGTGCTCTGAGCCAAAGCTCCAAAACAGGAAAAGAAAGAAAAGATCAGCGTCCAAGTTGCTCCGTACTGAACTTTGGCTCTGTGTATAATATTCCAGGAGCACATGCACCGTCTTCGGCGGGCGGCGACACTACCCGGTCCGTGCATGACTGCATGAGCGTACGTGTCACTTCTGGATACGTTGTAAATGGCGAGACGTGAGGCCGAGCGGGGAGCAAGTGAGCAACTACTACCACATATAAGCAGCGGCTACTTGTTTCCCTCCCTCTCTCAGGTACCCGCCTCCCCAGATACAGCCCTCTCCCAACAGACAGACTCCCTCTGTCCCTGTCTCCCTCCCTCCCTCCCTCTCTCCAGCTGGGTACGGTCTCCGGTTAGCCGCCGGCGCGTTTGCTGCTTAGTTAGTACTGCGCGTGTTGGTGCGGCGGAAGACGGTGATTGAGAGGATCGAGGACACGACGAGCCGGCAGGTGACCTTCTCCAAAAGGAAGGGCGGGCTGTTCAAGAAGGCCAGGGAGTTGGGCGTCCTCTGCGACGCCCAGGTAGGGATCCTCCTCTTCTCCAACACCGTCCGCCTCTACGAGTACTCCAACTCCAGCTCCGGGTACTGCTTGTTGTAGCTTCTTTTCAGACAGTTGCGTGGATTTCTTCAATTGATCTGGTGCTGGCGCTGATCAGCTAAATATGTGTGACTGTTGTTTGTTGGTATAGCTAGATAGGCAGATACATAGCAAATACGATCGAGGCCCACTTAAATACTACTAATGAGTCATGTTAATTTATATCCATGCCACCAATAAATGCCACCTAAGGATGTTTATTTCCAAGAAGCGAATACGAACTAAGGGACTTAATGATCTATTTTGTGTTGATCAACATATTTCCTCGGTCTCAACTTAATTACTGCCTTACTGAACCTGATTGTTTTTTGGTGATATTTTCCATACTTTGCTACTTCTTTCTCTATATTGACGATCGGGAGATGTCACCATAGGAAAAGGATGACGTTGTATTTTGACTCTCGATTATTATAGATATGAGAAGATCGGTGGTATTTGGTGATACATTTAATCTCAGTTAAGCATGTCATTTCAAATAGTGTTATTTGTTCATTTATTTTGCGGGGAACTTGTCTTATTTATTGATGCTTTTGTAAGTTCCAACCGTCTTTTTGCGGGTAAAATTATTTGGACTCAGAACCATCACGTATTGAATAAATTAGACATGCTTAAACTTCATAGAGAGCATGCACAAATGCAGAAATAATGAATTTATATCCCATTGCCACTACTAGAATATGGTTTTGTGATGAGTTTCAAAACTTCGCCAAGATTTTTCTATCGGGCACTCAGAAAAAAAAATTGCCTGACGAGTTTGATTCAAATTTTGGCTCGACATTGATAAGCAACTCGGCAGACCGAATACTTTGCCTAGGCCAACGAAAAACGACTTGGCAAAAAAAAAGCTCGGCAAAATCATAATTCCGCTGAGTTCCTATTTTTTTTGGCTAACACTGACTGGTGGGCCCCACTATCAAGCAGGCGACGGAGCCATGACGACAGTCTTTCTTTGCCGAGTTTCGGCTAACGGGGACCAAATCTCTCCTTTCTTTGCAGTCTTTTTTTAAATGGGAATTCGAGGTGTCATCTCTTTACTGAGTTTCTTCTGTAAGAGACTCAGCAAACATTTCTCATTTTTCATTTGCTTAAACTCAAATACCAGGGGTCACGGCTTTACCGAGCTGCGTCCGTAGAAAACTCGGTAAAAACTGACAGGTGGGCTGTCGAGTCACGTGCAGGTGACAAGCTGACCGTGCGCCTTTGCTGGTCAGGCACGTCGTGTACGGCGGCCACTGTGTACAGAGGTTGTGTTTAGTCCCACCTCACCACGCGAGGCACACGCCAACCGGCTTAAATAGCCACAGAGGCGAACAGTGGTAAGCTTCTCTGTTGTCGCATTAGGTCCATCCATTTTCGTTGTGTGAATGATGTAGCTTCACACTAGATTGCATTTCATCAACTAATGATTGTTCATTGAGTGTCAAATTCATCTTGTTCATATACGTTGATAACCCTACTACAACGAAAGAGATTTTAAAATTTTCATTTATTTTAAATAAATTGTTTATTTTTTCTGTTTTCTTCAGTTTTGTCGTTACTATATGTTTTTTCTTTTTTCTAAAAACATCTTAAAATTTAAAAATGATCTTGTTTTTGTATTTTTGTTCAAAATGTTACCCTTTCATTTTAGAAAAATAATATATGCACATACTATGCCAACACATTCATTGAAAACTGCACCCCATATCCATTGTATAACCATGGAAACTATGGCCGTAAAATCATGTCAGCATGCATTGGCACAAGTGTACCTCTCTTCAACAAAAACTTCACAAAGTGTGCATAATTATATCTTTCTCATTTGTAAGATAAGAGATTTTGCTTTTGTTTAATATTATAATATGTTATCTCTTGTTTACAGGATGAAATCACTACTTGAAAGATACCAACAGGTTAAGGAGGGTCAACAATTCATGAGTGCAAGCGCACAAGCTAAGGTATGACTTTTGATCAGTATTTCTCAATAAGATAGCTAGTCATGCGGTTTATGTCTACTTCAATGCTCATTGGGTCTGTCCTTCGTATACTTGTACTACCCCACCTTCATGCCATGCGGATACCATGCGTGGCATAGCTATCCAATTATGCCCCCCTAACTTTAGAAATATACCTTCTCATATGGCAACAAAGATGGAGATTAACATCAAGTTTCATGCCAGAATGAGCCCTCAACCACCTTATTCTTGATGTCTTTACTTGATGTGATTATCCATTGCCGGCACGTTGTCCTGGGCGCTGGTAGTAACGTGCTGCTGCCCAAAGTTGCTAGACCACTTTCACTCTACTATGTTATAACTTTGTTTCAAAATAACCAATAATTCAAAAAAATCTATTGTTTTGGTGCACTCATATAATGCGTAGTATTATTTTTTACCGCAAAGTGCACTATTAGCTAAGGAATTTACAATACCGTTAGAAATCAAACTTCATGGGTTGCAAATATGAATTAACCAGGAAAATCAAATTTTGATTTTTCAAACTAGAAAATTGTAGATGTTAGGGCACATCGGAGTTAAGGGAGGCAGTGCTCTTGTTACTAAAAGATCGTCTTCTAAGCCAAGCACTAGTCGGGGTGGGGGTGGAGTGGGGAAGTACCTATATGGGCCCGATCTTGAGCAAAGCAATGGTACAGGCTTTCTTGTGAAAGTGGGATGTAAAACAAATTATACATAAAACCAATAACATATCATGTGTTGCTCTACAGACCACCGTCATTTGTTCAATGATATCTAAGGAGAAAACATTTCCAACATCTTACACAAAGGACCATAATATGTTAATGATATCTAACGCACTCACTTGATCAATTAGTGAAAAATATATGCATATATAAAGATTGGTTCATGTTGCTTTTGCAATTCAATTGAATAGCTATTTCATTATTTCGCCTATAATTTATCAAAACCCACGACAATATAGTTTGTCTCCGTTCGGTTGTTTTATTTTAAATTCTATAGTATAAATACATTATTCTAGGACATTGAGTATTTCTATATGTATGTGACTGTTCATTTATAGTTTTGGCAAGCAGAGGGAGAACGTTTGACGCAACAACTACATAACTTGCAAGAAAATAATAGGTATGCTAAGTAAATTTATATGAATGATGTTCTAAAACTAATTAAGAATGAAATGGACACTGATTTTTCATGTGCAATAATTTGAAATATCATAAACTCAAATCCTTAATAGATGTAATATTCATACTCAAAAAACAATAATTACACATTTGCGCTAATTTGCTAAACCATTTCGGGCAATTGTTGGGACAACATTTATCTGGCTTAGGTTTGGAAGACTTAAGTGGTTTAGAGAAGCAACTAGAAACGAGCCTGCATAACATTCGACTAGCAAAGGTAATACTTAACGTTACCATGATTGTACATCTTTGTAGTGGCACTAATCATATTGTTCTTTCCAGGACCAACTTACGATTGATGAAATTGAAGAGTTCAATAAGAAGGTCAATTTGTGATTTCACCATTGCAACACTACTACCACCATATCAGAGAGGGCGGCCCATTTTATTTCCAATTAGCCTAACCTTTTTTAACTGCGGGGAAACCTCGTACACCAAGAAAATGTTGAGCTGCACAAGGAACTAAATATCATTCATCAAGAGAATATATATTTGCAAAGCAAGGTGTGTAGGTATAAGAGAACCACCCATGCAAAATTAAAATAAGATAAAGGGAGTATAGAAGAGTACTCCTTATATAATACACAAACCTTGCATGTCTGTAAGTTGTCATGCATGTTCAATTCAATTTTTCAGCTAAATGGGCAGCCAAAAGCAAATGGGGCGATTACAAGTTCTTCTAGCCAGTGCAGCATTGCTGCTCGAGATGGTGCAAATCTAGTTCGTTTGGAACTCAGCAAACCACATCATGCGGAAAAGGATGAGGAACCAGAATCACCAACACTGGGGTATGGTGAAATTTGTGTTCTTTAATTTGTCTTTGCCTATTAAATTGTTAAGACAAAGTAAACATATGAGCTAACACAGAGGGCAACCTCTCCTATTCAATGCATGAAACAGTCTTTGACTACCAGCGGACTGATGGACGAGGCCAGAAGTTTCTACTAAAAGCTGAAAGGTCTGTCAGATGATCGACCGGAGTTTTGATGTGGCAATTCTATTCTCAATCAAATGCTAGTTGTTGTTTCCAGTACGTCTACCCATGAATTGTACATATAAAATTTGATTGTGAGATTTGCAACTTGCTCCAGGTAATTTTCTTTTTCTTGTTCTCAAAAATATGATAGTACTTGTGGCTAGCAAAGGAACGAGAACATCATTATCGAATCCCTAGACTCCATAAACATGCATTAATATCAATGTATACCAGTGGGTCGCACTTGTTATTTTCAAGGAACTAGCACACCGTGTCGGGTATACAATGTGCAAACCGGGTTTAGTTTGCTTGAGTACATTTTTCTTAAGAAAATTCCCAATTTCACCGCTAACAATTATAATATGACCAAGTGTACAAACACAAACCAATAAAAAGTTGTTCATCAACAAAAGTTCAATTGTTAGATTCCATTGGCTTGCAAAACCTACGACGATATTGAGATCATCATTATCATTGGAAAGAACTATAGAAAATCACCACAAAGACAGGTTGTCAATTTTTCATGATTGCCATGGACAAATGTTCATGGACCATTATTACATATTTAGAGGACTAGACATCCCAAAAAGATGAAAAGGCTCATGGCAGCGGCGACCCATGCAGGGGGCTGGTGGTGCGTCTAGGCGACTAGATGTGGTGGCTACGTGGTGGTGGTGGCATTCCACGATGGCCGGTGAACTTATAGAATTTGATCGACCAGCGGCGGCATGTGGGGTTGCGAGCGGCGGCGCCTAGGCTGCTTGGCATGGCATGGTGTCTTGCCCCAGGATGCGCGAGGGTTGGGCATGAGGCTGTGGTGGTGGGGTGTGCTATGGGAGACGGTGGTGGATCTGCCTGCCCGATTTGGTGTGGGCGGCCCTCTGTCCGGCTGTTCGTCAGCGGCGTGGGCTGGACTTCTCTGGTGGCCTCAGTTGCTAGGGGTGGTTCCGCAGCGGTGTGGTGTAGGCGACGCATCTGGCTTGGGCGAGATGACATGATTGCGGGTCCCGGCTAGATCTATGGCTATGGGCGCTGCTCCGGTCTTGTTCGCTTCGTGGTGTGGACCCAGGAGTGGTGTCGTTGCCGTGCTCAGGCTCGTCAGGATCATGGTGGTGGCACCAGTCAACGGTGCGGCCTCACGGGTCGAGCGGTGGTGGCTGCTATTTGTCAGTGGGGTGCGGGCGGTGGTGGCATCCTCCCCTCTCCTAGGTCTAAGCCTACAAAGCGTGAGGTGCTCACGTGACCGAGGATGGTTGGGTCCTAGGGTTCGTTCTCGGGCGGGCTAGATCTGGGCTTGAGGCGGATCGGAGCTTCCGCTCCGGGTAGCTGTGAATGGGCATGGTCCAGGTGGCGGTTAATGGTGGCATTCCCCGTGCTCACCCGGTAGCGATGGGGTGCCGCGGCTGTTGTGTTTGGTGGCGGTGCGATCCGGGCCGTGGATGTCTTCGGCGTGCGGCATGGATCTGATTCGTGCTGGTGGACGGCGTCTGGCACGTAGGTACGAGGGGTTGACTAGGTCTGCGTTGGTTTCCTTTGTGTTGTGCACTTTGTGTCTGCTACTTGCTCACGGAGCCGGTCCGAGTTAGGCTCTTCGGGTGTTGCCATGTCATCGGACGGATCGGCTGTGGTGATCATCGGCTTTGCGTCATTTGAGGTGCTCGATGGCGGCCGTCGGCAGTCAGTAAGTTGCATACAGGCGGTCCACCAGGACCGAGAAGGGAGGCAGGTGTGGGCGCCTCCTACTATGGAGGTGCTAACCGAGACTCGGTGACTGATGTTGGGCTAGGAACGAAATGTGGTCCCTTTCACTCCTACTAATGTGGCAGGGGGTCATGACGTGGATCGCCGGTGGTGTCCGGGGCCATGGATGTCGGGGCCGTGGTCTCGGATGCTGAGCCTCGCGGTTCGCTTTCCGGCAGACTCCGTGGTGGTGGTCGTGACTCTACTTCTTGGTTGTGTGGGCAGCAAGGGGTGGAGTGGTGGGAGGCTCCGGTAGTGCCCAGATCTGGTGTGGATGGGCGAGCCCTCATGGAGATGTTGATCGGGACTCCCATTGTGGCCGGCGAGTGTCCGAGCGAAAGCTTCTCGCTATCTGGCGCTGGCATCGACGGCGCTTGTGGGTGTTGCTTGCTTCTTGGAGTCGTCGTTGTGGGTCTCGTTATGCCAGGGCTCCAGCTGAAAACCTCTGTCAGTTTTCTTGGACTCGGCAACAGCGACGCTTCGCGCTGTCACCTTTTTTGGGGCGTTGTCGTGGAGCTCAAGAGTCTTCGGTCGGGTCTTGACGAGATGTTAGTTTGCTCTTAGGTTATTCTTGTAGTTCTTGATCTACTTTGTAAGAGGGTGGCATGAGCACAATGCACGCACACGAAACTTGGGTGATGGCCACGGGGTGTGACGCTCCTGTTGAATACTTTATTGCTTCACGGTTGGTTGATTACAAGCGGTAGCGCTGCACTTATATAAACATATCTTTATCTACTAATTAACCAGCGACCGCTGCTGGCCGTCTCTCGTGGTTGTTTTGCGAAAAAGCCCCTCGATTTATAGGAAATCAACCCGCAGTCTCTGTTTTAGTGGCACCCTGAGAAAATATTTTGCTTTTACAAAAAATAACCCTGTAACCCGCTCGGGCCCGAACCGAACCGCAGCGCCGCCGGCAGCTCCCTCCTGCCCTCGCTCCCCTCACGCCCGCAAGCCGCGTTGCCGGCAACCCACACCTCCGCCACGCCCCGCCGCCAGCGACCTTCAGCCGCTCCAACGCCTCACCCCTTTCCCTTCTCCTCCTTCCTCTTAGTCTGCTCTCACCTCTCTCCCTCGCCGAACATGGACCTCCAGGAGGGCCATGGCGCCACCGGCCCTCAATCTTGTCGGATCCGGCGGCCTCCACGCCAAAACCGCCATAAATGGATCCACCCCGGCTAGATCCGCCCGGATCCGACCGGGCCCCACCATCGTCGCCACCGGAGCGCCGCCCCGCTCGACGTGCAGTGCCACCGCTGCCTGTCCCAGCCCACGTCTGCATGAGGATGACGCTCGTCCCGCTCGCTCACATCACCCGCTCTTCTGCCGCTCTGTCACCGCCCACCCGTGGCACCACCTTGAGATCAGCCCCGATGCCACCACCGAGCTCCCCTGTGCTCGTTGGGCACCCGCGGTCCTAAATTTGGCTGGTTTAAATTAAGTTGGAAGAAAAGGAAGGGGAGACACGCAGGAGGAGCTCGCCGGCGGCAGCGCTTGCCCCGGGCGCGGGGGTGATCAGCCGATGCGGTGGTGGCCATGGGCGCCGGTGGCTGGAAGAGGTACAGAGGAGAAGGGGCGCAAGAGGGAGAGAGATGATAGGAAGGGGAGGGCTAGCGGGCTTGTGAAGGTCGACGGCGGCGAAGTTGATGCCCGTGCCGTGGGGGAAGCGGATCTTGGCTGGGGAAGGGAGGGAGAGGAGTGGCGGTTGCACCTGGTGCGGCGGCGAGGGGAAGTAAGCGCGAGGTCAGAGGCGCGGGAGCATGGGAGGTCGCCCCCTGGGCAGGTTCGATCTTTGGCTCTGCAGCTGTTAATTTGATATAGCCCAAAATTGAAGTATCACTAATTGTTATATTTAGGTCTGCATGTTTGATCCAGTTTCTGCATTCTTGATCGCCATGTTTTTATTTGAAAAATCTTGAGCTGGAATTCGTTTGGTGCCATGTGTACTAGTAAACTAAAATATGTAGAGCCCTATTCGGTACTGATGTTTATAGAAGCCTAGCATTGCTGGGGCATAGGAAGTTCTAGCTTCACTCAGTGACGATCCTTTCCAGCTTCGGGTTCCCGCTTCAATGTTGTGCCGCACTCAGAAAAACTTTGAGTTCTTTCTGGGACAAGTCGCTCTGTTTCTGCCTCCTGTATGCATAAATTTTTTTAGTCGTGAGATATTGCCACTCTAGATAATTTGGATGGAATATGAATTTCATGGTGTGATATCCTATCATCTTGCAGACAAGGCAAACACCAAACCATGCAATTCTTTTTCTACTCTGACATCCGTACCATGTACACACCAGCTAATAGGGGAATCCAATCGTGTTTAATTCCAACAATTACCACCTAAACACGATGTAGTCATGTCACAGCTTGGACACAGATCATTCGTCGCATGTCCAAGAAGTTCTCTCGATTCAAAGCTTTGATTAGGATGTCCACTAGTTGATCATCGGTGCAAACGTGGTTGGCCTTCAACTTACCTTCTTCCACACAGTTCTTTTCATAGTGATACATTATATCAATGTGCTTGCTCCTTTCACGCCGCACTGGATCCTCGCGCAGAAAAGTTGTAAACCCGATGTCAATGTTAAGCACCAGTTGTTCCGGATCTCGATTCATGAGATCGCCATGTAACCTCCCTAGCCACACACATTGAAATGTCGCAGCGGCAACAGCAATATACTCCGCTTCATCTGAAATCGATGTCATAATTTTCTGTTCTTGTGATAGCGAACTTACTATGCTTTCATCGAGGAAATATGCCACACCCAAGGTATTTTTACTGTTGTCAACAACTACTGTCGTGTTGCTATCATTGTAGCCGAGAAGCTTCACCATCTCCTTCTTCTCCTCTGCCGCATAGAGACAACCGAAGTTTGTCGTCCCTTTGATATATCTAGTATATGCCTCATAGCTGTCCAATGTTCCGTAATGAATGCTTCCATGAAGCGACTCATAGTCCCAACATAATAGGCTAAGTCTGGTCTTGTGTTCAAGAGAAACCTCAAACTTCTGACCACACTTCTATGTTATGTTGGATCAACCACGGGTGATTTCCTCTTCTTGCTCAATGCAAGATGATGCTCCACTGGAATATTAATTGGATTGTAATCTTTCATGCCAAGCTTTCGAGTACCTTCCATGTGATGCCTCCTGATGTAGGGTGACGCCCTCAGGCTTCTGTTCTACCTTAA